TAATTCAAAGTAGAACGTAAACCTCAGTGAATACCTTTATTTCATCGTATACATTCCCTGTAGTTAAAGTGGTCCTAAGCGGAGGCTGAGAATCAATTACGATGACCAGATCGACTTGGATACATCCATCTTCTCTCAAGTTGTTACTTTTCATTTCATCTGATCAACCCGGCTATCTCCTTGACATTTCTTTGTAGGCATCAGATAAGGTGGCTGTTGATTAACTCATACAAGCAAAAACCTTCGGTGGGCGTCGAGATGAGGTGAAATCGAAGTCAACTAATTGATAGTGTTGAAGAGCGTGCGTTAGAATTTGATTGTTAGCTAATATCCATCATTAGGAAACGGGCTCTTCCTTTCGACTTGGGCGCGACGAAATAATAACAGTTATTAAACATCAAGTCAATGGACTCTTTGATCTGGAATCCCAAGTTTCAGCTCAGAAAGAGATAACTGTTTGGTCTTTCAGAGTCGATCAATCCCGTTTGAGGGATGCGCCCGAAATCGAACTCTATTCAGAATCGTGGTGACGACAGAATGCGTATGCGGCCTACACATATGTATACTGTACAATGACTTCTGCTGGTCAGCCATGAGCAAGTCAATGCTTTTATCCTCCCAGACGGGTTGGTACTAAATAAGTGAGCCTTTAAGGATACAAATCTTTAATGGGTACTATTTCTAGATTCGATCCTTTAACCATGCACGTGGTAGTACGCCACTTGGCACTATAACGCCTCCGCCCTAGATAAATAATTAGCAAAGTAGGATCCTCTGTATTATTGGGAAGCCGCTTGATATTCCCATACCTCATATCGGATTACACAGAAAGATGATTTATGAGAACTCAGGATGACCTGACTTATAGATTTCTTCCTTCAGTAAGGTAATTCTCTTCACCATCTCCTCGTGATTCGTTAATCCCTTCATTTGGATATTCTACAAGTGGTTCTCGGATGTGTGGGCTAGAAGGAGCTCTATCGGTGTACCGTCACCTGTGAAAATAGGTCATCGGTTGCTATTTTCACCATTCAGAGTTGCAGTTCAAACATCCACACCCACAGCCTTTGTGTTGTGGTCTCACGTGCCTGAGCGGCTAATGGAGTTACTTCAAAAAA